GGTGTTTCACCTATTTCAGTGGATTATAACTTTAGAATGCGCTTTACACGTTATGCATAGTTGTTCTAAGGTAAAACTGTAGCAGAAGAAGTAAAGCAATATAAAATTAACCGAATAGGCCCGGTGTAGAGTAATACCTGTGGCAGTTCGACTCGTAGTTCTGTATGCCCAGAGGACGTTGTTGAGCTCGTCTGCCCATTTGGCCTTGTGTTGTTCCAGCCTCGGCTTTATACCTTCTAAGATGCACTTGTTAATAGATTCGACCATGCCATTGGACTCTGGATGGTAAACCGAGGTGAACTGCAGTTTAATCCCGTAGCTGGAACAGAAATCTCGAAAAGAGGTGTAGTTAAATTAAGTTCCATTATCAGCCACAATCTGATTCGGGATCCCATATCTACAGATAATTGAGCTGAAAACAAAGTCTTCAACCTTCTTGGAAGTAAGACTGGATAACGGCCGAGCTTCAACCCACTTTGTGAAATAATCTACACCAACAATTAAGTGGGTTACACCACCAACCCCTTTTATGAATGGTCCCAAAAGATCCAATCCCCACTGAGCAAATGGCCATGGTGCTACCAGAGTAGTGAGCTCTTCTGCAGGCTGGTGAGTCAGGTGCGCAAAGAACTTGCATTTCAAACATCTCTGAACAAAGTGAGTGGCATCCTTGTACATGTTTGGCCAATAATAACCCTGTCTAAGGACTTTATGAGCCAAAGTTCGAGCACCTACGTGACTTCCACAGACACCTTCATGTACCTCCCTGAGTGCATATTCTGCTTCATAGGGATTCAAGCAACGTAGAAGAGGTAGAGAGAAAGATCGCTTATAGAGAACCCCATCAACAAGTGTATACCGGGATGCTTTCCTCCTCAACTTCATTGCCTCTTGCCTGTCCTCAGGTACTATCCCATCTCGTAAGAATGAAAGGATTGGGTCAGTCCAGCTCGGTGTGCCTGGGTTGGTGCTGATCTCCATCACCCGCGGCTTCACGAAACTTGGTTCATCTAAGACCTCCACAAAAACTGATCTGGGATGTGAAGAACTATCAGAGGCGATTTTAGAGAGTGAATTTGCCTGTTCATTCTCAGTTCAGGGAATTTTGCTCAAACAGAATTTCTGGAATTTGCATTTCAGCTCCGCCACCAGAGCTACATATTTCACCATCATAGGATCAACAACTTCGCAAATTGAGTTAATTTGGTTCACCACTAGTTGAGAGTCGCTGTATACTTGGATCGCACTGAGTTTTAATTCCAAGGCTAGCTGCAGACCCAGTAGCAGGGCTTCATACTCAGCCATGTTGTTTGTTGCATCAAAGTTAAATTTCAGAGCATGTTCACTTCAGTATCCATCTGGGCCAATTAAGAGAGCACCAGCTCCTGAACCTTTGCTACTATATGCCCCATCAACATATAAGGTCTAGTCATTGGGTTCCGGAGTAGGAATGGAATTACCTGGAGTGCACTCTACAATGAAATCAGCCAGTGCCTGAGCTCGGATTGCAGATCTCTGCTGAAATGTTATCTCAAACTCCCCCAGTTCTACTGCCCACTTAATTAATCTTCCAGAACACTCAGGCTTTTGCAGAATCTGCCGAAGGGGTTGGTCTGTAAGAATAATGATCGGGTGCGACTGGAAGTACGGCCTCAACTTTCTGGCCGAAGTGATGACTGCTAAAGCTGCTTTCTCAGCTAT